TCCTGTCACAGGTTCCTGTTCTGCTACCTGAGGGGTCCCAGATGTATTTCATCCATCCCCTCATGACCAGATGGCTCCTGCTCCAAAGTGGCTCAGCAAATACACCTTAACGGACTGTGGGTCATTCATTCACCTCTCCTTCTGGAATTAGAGTCCTCTCCTGACAAACAAAGAATTGAACAAAACAAGCAAAAAGCAGTGGCAATGTTTATTTGAAAAACGCAAGGGCTGGAGATTTAGCACAAGTGCCTGCTTGGAAAGTGTGACATTGTGAGTTCAATTCCTAGACTAACAAAGAAAAGAAAAAAAAAAAGAAAAGAGAGTGAAAGTGAAAAGGGAAAAACTGACTCTGCAGAGTGAGCTTGGGTCAAGTAAAAGAGGAAAATGCAGGATAAAAGTAGACCGTGCAGGAAGCAGGAAAAATCATGATAAATAGCAAGCTCTTCATGGCACCGGTGTGTCCTTTTACACTACCCGAATCTCAGTGAAATGCACAAGAACTTCTACGTCTAGGTTCCGGGAGCAGATCTGGGACCCCATGTCTCAGGCCAACGTCAGGGTCAAGCTGTCTCACTGAAGACCTGCTGGAGTTCTAAGGAAAGCACCTGCAGGCTGCCTCCCCTGGGCCCTGAGCTTGTGAGAGGCAGGGCAGGCCCATTTCCCTGGCCAGGTTTGCCACACCCTAGCAATCTCCTAGCTGGCCCTCCTTATGCAACAAAACATCATTCTCAGGAAGAATTACCAAAGGACTTTTTAGGAAATTGCTGTGAAAATATCTCATCAGTGATTTGTTGCCACCTGTCAACTTCTCCATTGCCCTGTCATTTTGTCAGTTCTCTTTACCCCTCTTGTTTTGTGCAGATATTAAAAGAAAGGATAATGACATAGCACATCATTGCCATGCCCACTGTTTCTCACCTCGTTTATGCAAAATCTGGCAGCACCTGTAGCGCAAGCTGCACACTCAATGACTAGATTGACTTCAAATTTTTTTCTCTGTAATACTGAGAATAAAGAATCAATTATGTAAATTCTATGATGTATGAGTTTTGTTGGTTTGAAGTTGAAAACAGTATCATAAGAATGCTTCTAAAAAGTGATACTTATTTTAATTAATTTTCAATTTCTTGATTAATTTCAAAAGATTGGTTACAAAAGATTTATTCTCCGCATGCACTTGCCATATCATAGACAATGAAGAGCAGTAACACTGCCATATTCAGATGTTTACATGCATTATAATTTCATTTTGATTCAACAATAGGGCCATACAACAACTTCTTTAGATGTAAGTTATGAGTAGAACAATTCTCTATTGAAGAAATTAGATTCCTGCCATCTAAAGCAGGTAATATGTAGTTTAAGCCTTAAGATTATGGACTGTAGTTAAGAGTCAAAAACAGGAGGATCAGATCAGCCAGTCCCACCAGCAGATCAGGATTTACCGACTCCTGCTGAAATGATGATCTTAGCAGGTAGACACTTGCAGACACAACAAGCAATAGTCACAGGGATTGAAGCAGCCCTGACTGAAGGAGCTTTACCTCACACAGCATCACAGCTGGAAGAGAGGGACCGTGTTGCTCCAGTATCAAGCGGCCCCTTTCAGGTTTTAACCCAGTAAAATCCGTCCTCTGTGACACATTCACCTACCTTCATTCTTTCCTAACATTTATATTTGTAGAATAAATTTGAGCTAAAAAGCATGAATTTCCATTTTAATGTTTATTACATTGAGCACACATAACTGATTATTGTAAGAATCACACACATCTTCTATTAGTGTCTCAATTTTACTATATTCTTTACATAAATGATAAACACGTAAAGTGAAATGCTTCTTGTATCAATTTATAATTTTCATGCTACTGAAAAACACTCCTTTTCCACTATATAATGTTTTCAACTCTAAAACTATATTTAACAATTTGCTAACTTGTTGTGAAGTTTAAGATTTTTAAAGAAAATCCTCTACTATCAGACCACTAGTCTGATAATAGAATGTAGAAGGAATCATTAATGTAAAATTTCAATGGAACTGATTCTGTATAAATTAAAAGATCATAAACTATGATCTTATTTTCACTTTAAAAGCATAAAATCAGTAAACACCATTTTCAATACATGTCAAAAAAGCACCTCTGTTTTATGAGCCAAATTCCAAGCTATTTAGATTTCAACGAGCAGGGGAAATGAACCTACTCACACTTTAGTGCACTGAAAGCCCATCCTACAGAGCTAATTGCTGAAGCTTTAGTAATGAGCTTTTGTTCTGTATTTAGTCATTTTTAAGAGACAATAACTCTCAGGAGGCAGCAGTACAGTACAGCCTGCTCATCCCAGGACAGTTCACCCACTTTATCCTCTTCAAGAAGGAACAGGGTAGAGTCTCAAGCATGGCTGAGTAACCAGAGCTTAGTGTGTTAAGGAATACCTTGATTCAGATCAAATGCAGGATAGCAGGGTTGTGCCTGGTCACCTCATGCTAGGGCTCACATCATCATCTGATTTTATGGAGAGGAAAGAAAATTCCTGCTTTAGTCACTAATCCCTACAAGAGCATCTGCACTAACAAGCTCTTGCCCTGCAGGATGAAGTATGTATCAAGGAGGTGGTATGGTCGGGGAACTGAAGAAAGGCTGCAGAGGAGCAGAAGCCTCAGATACATAGTGAGTGCAAGCTCGTTCCCTGAAGTCAAATTCCTAAAGAAATTAAAGAAGAATCCGAGTAAGGAATACACGAATTTGCAAAGTGTTGAGAACTTCAGATGCTCTTAAAAAATAAATTTTCTAAATTTTAAAAACTTTTAGTTTTTATAAATTTATAAAGCCTTTGTAGTGTGTATATGTGTGTGTGTGTGTGTGTATATATATATATGATGTAGTACATATATCTGAGGTGTGTATCAGATGATGTTTTATGTATGTATCATGTCTCAAGAGAAGTACATACATGTGGTGATGTGTATGCACATAAATGTGTGCAAGTGTATCTTACAATATGTGTACACACATACAAATACAGGTGTAGAGAATTCATCACTACAGTCAAGCAAAGTACCATATGTATTTTGGTAGCTTTAAACTGTTCACTCCTTGATTCGCCTTACAGACTAGACCAAAGTAGTGAATTACATACATAGAAACAAAACAAAACACAGGAAAAGAAAGAAAGAAACATTTCAGGCAAAGCTGAGGAGAAAACAGGAAGGAAAAACCAAAGAGTTTTAGCAAAATTATAAAGAAACCAGAGTGACTGAGTAGATTCCTGGGCATTAATACTCAACCACAGTTATTTCATTCCTAAATAGAGTAGTGGCGAAGGTAGTCCTTGCTGGGACAAGTGGTGCTGTTGCCCTGGCTGGGGTCTGGGCACCAAAGGAAGTGGCTCCCAGACAGCTGTGCTCTGTCCACCAGACCATGGACACACTCCTGACCAGCACCACACTGGATGAAACCATACTGAGAAGCACAGCTCACACTGAGCTGGGCTGGAGGTGACGCTGTGGCCCTTCTGTCCCTTTCTGTGTTCATTCCTATGGGAAGCATGAGGTAAATGACTGTTTTTAATGTCTTAAGAAGTATTCCAGAGGTGGTAGCTATGACTTATCTGATGTGTGGATGATGTAATCTGCAAGAAAAGCCATGTATGCTAGGTCCCATGTAGAAAATGACATTAATTAAGGATAATGTACCTGTCATTCCCTCAACCTGCCAAGCTGTTGCCTACTAAGCCAACATTCAGGACCCGGAATCAATTTTGGAAGAACACAGTTCATAAAAATTCAATGACATAAATTCTTAGCAACACATTTACACACAGGCCAAAGTTGTCAGGAAGAGATTTTCTGAAATCCAAAGAAGGGACCACATTTGTTGCTTAGGTGTTTCTGATGCGGGATGGATCCTCCCTGTGTCAACCAGAGTTCACACAGCCAACAGTCTATTTTTGGAAATGCAAGTTAATTTGCAAAGATAGAGATAATTTCTTTGAGCTGCAATAGGAAATGTAATGATCATTCACGCTAATAAAGACAGAATTGTTTGAGCAGTTCAGATATCAATTAATTTTCCATCCTTGCTCAGCTAAATCCCTGTAAAAACTGGCAAGATGCTCCTGTATTTTACTACACAGCTGAATGGAGCGAGGACTGTTAAACATACCTTGCAGGCCTTTTCGTAATACACAGAGCAAAACATAATTGTGTCTTTTATTTATTCACATTATTTTGATGTTTTCTAATAATTACTAGCTCTAACTGCATCAATGTTGTAACTCGTAGGGCCAGAATGACACCATGTTTTGACAACACCCCGATGCTCTCTGTGGATGCCTCAGCACTAAGTATGGGCATGCATCCACCTCGCTGGACTTGCATGGCTCCCATGGGGTGGGCAGACACAATGGGAAACCTTTGAGCCATGTCACCAAATGTTACTATGTGCTTCCACTTGGAGCAGAAATTGGAGAGACAGAAAATGCCAACATGCCTCATTGAACAAAGTGCAGTCGTCAAAGACTTCATATTGACACTGCACTTCCTAGTACAGTCCATATTAATTGTAAGATAAGCAAAACTGATACCAGTGTGTTATGAAATAGCACTGAACAGATTTCTTTAACTGTGGGTCATTCACCACATCGTCAAATGAACATTCTTTCCATTTGAAATGTGATTCTCTCATTTAAATTATCATTTTTTCCAAGAAATGCCCCCATTTTGCCAGTGAATAGGAAGACGAATCATAGTGACAATTTTAAAACAAATTAACAGTTAAATTGATAGAAGTAACAAAGTACACCCGTATTCATGATCAATTCATATTTATTCAGCATGAAAAGAAATGCATACTGGGAAATTCATCACCAATATTGACAAAGGGACTTTATCCAGAGCAGAAACAAAGCTGAACCAAAGGCAGCATTCACACCTACCTCATAAACCAGTCTGATGACCGCATGTGGACCTTACTGAGCTAAGGTGGCCGGTGGGCACTTACCTCACATGGCTGATGAGCAGAGTCGGGCTGGGGATGAAGAAGTCATCCACCCGGTCGAACTGGCGGCCCACGGGCTGCGTGTGTACTGTGTGGTGGGGGCCATTCCCACTGGCCAGGGTCACCACCTAGGAGAAGACAGTGTGGTCACGGGGGACACAGTCACAGGCCCAGTTTCCACATTTTTTGCAGAAAATTAGCTCTTCTGGCATTTATTTGCATAAACTTTCTGCCCTCCCCAGGATTAGCATATCATTAATCAAATGGCAATGTATATGCTTTGTCTATTTTCAGTATAGAAAAATTTGTCCTATAAAAAAAACTTCTAAATAGTAGAAACATTAACTTTGCTGTAATGAGGCGGTCTCAGGGCAGAATTTCTTTGTTAGACCAGAACTGGAACATGTGAAAACTCCAAAATAAATCATGTGAAACCTTTTAAAAATGTCAGGATATATACAACCATATTTTAAAGTAAATTGAAAATAATCAGTTGAAGTGAATTTTAATTGAAGAAACAAGAAAGGTAAAAATATTTGCCTTTGGCAAAATAACAACCTTTTAGTTGGTCACTGATTGCAAATCAAAGCTGGTCCTGTGAAACAAATCAGCAGGCAGATATTTTATACATGGTTTTATACATTCTGAGATTTTTAAAAGGCTTCACATGACTTATTTAGAATTTATCTGTAACACTAGTTGGAAAATCATTGCCATGCACACCTAACATTGTGACAGTATGTGAATATTTTTATCAATAACAAATGTCATAGGAAATTTGTATTTTGTATTCAAAATTGTCACAGACACACGGTTTAAATTAGAAATGAAGACACGAAATAGAAATGGGCCTTCCTATCCTTGAGAAAATGTTCTCTGGGTTGGTGAGCATTGTTATTATGAAATGTGCTGTATGAGGACAGAGAAATACAGACTGTGTAGCCTGTACCAGTTCATCTCCCAATTGTACGGCAGAGGAGCACCGAACCAAAGGAAACCTTGCGAATCGAGTTTCTTTTTTCTTTTTTTTTTTTTTAGTTTTTATTTATTTATGCGAATCGGGTTTCTTGACAGTGTTCTCCCTGTTCACATTTTCTCTGTGTTTCCTACTGTCCTGGTGGGAGACGATTACGAGCACCTTGACACCCTCGCAGAGCCCAGGAGAGCCGTGCAGGGCCCAGGTGCAGGTCTAACACAGCGACTGCAGAGGAGGAGCCAGAGAGGCGCCCCTGAGACGGTGCCTACAACCTCCACCTCCACCGAGCCTTGCTCACCTGGGCACTGCTGGCCTGGCCTCCCAGCAGGTCCCACCCACTCCAGAGCAGGCCAGTGCCCTCCTGCTGCAGGTCCTCTGCAGGTCTGGCTCCCTGAGGGGCCCTGGGGCCAGTGCTGAGCCCTCCATGAGTCAAAAGGGCCTGTTTTGAACAAAAGCCCTCTGTATCCTTCCCCCTTCTGGAAAGCATACTAAAATAACTCTCCTGCTCTTCTGATAATTGTTTCTACATTTTATTTAGTATTTTCAGGCATAGCGGTTACCTTTCACTCCCACTCAGTAAATATTTTAAAACTTCACTGCATTCTATTTGTACAACTTCTTTGACATTCAGAACACAATAAAGAACCTATTTTCACATGCCTACATACTGTGTGGGAAGTAACATATACCTTTATAAAGCATTTTTCCTGTACACTATTAAAGGAGAGTATTCCAACAGTTTTGTGAAAATAGTGCTACACTTAGAAAATTCTTAATTGTACAAGTACCTTGGATCAGAGGAAGATGAGGGATTGATTCTGAAGAATACAGTGTATGTGTCTGCACTCTTAATTTTCTTAGAAAAAAAGATAAACTGATTTTAAAAGCATTTTAAGCCTTATGAAACTTTTCTTAAAATAAAGAAAATAGTATTACAATAATTTAAATCAATAATTGCTTTCAAAAATATCACTATTGATGTGTTTTATCTTGTCAAGATTATGCCTAAGTACAGAACATTGGATCAGGAGACTGGATCTTGGCAAACCCTGCGGTTTCCTGGCTCTTGCCCCACTCTGCCACAAACTTGGGCACCCCACGTACTCTGTGATGGGGGGCCCACTGCCCTCCTGATCTGGCCCCGCTTTGAAGGAGCTCAGTTTTCCAGTTTGAGGAGCACTCAGGACTCTTCAGAGTGGCTGGGTGAAAGGGTGTGGATGGTCAGGGCTCACAGCCTGGAGTCCGGAAGCAGCAGGGACTAGGAGGGGACAGGCAGTGATGGAGGGGTCACTTCCTGACTGGGCAGGCTTTTGTTCTGTCTCCTCACACCTGCTATGCACGAGGAGGACCACACCAGAGCTGCCTGTGTGTGCAACCATACGGCTCCCTGCCTAAGAGCTAGAGTGAAACTGCATTTCCCACATCACTGAGCCGGGACCTGCATCACAGCAGCAGAGGACTGAGTACAAAAAATGATTGTCTAAGGACATTGACTTACTTGGTTACTGTAGTGTTGACTTTCTATGTAAGTACAGCTTTTAATGAACACAACTATCCCCTTTCCCCACCCAAAATCCTATTTGAGTAGCAACATTTTCCTCTTTTTCCACATAGTGGTCAAAAAGACCCACTTCTCAGCAGGACAAGCCTCATTCTGCATGCGTAGGCGGTCCAGTGAGACCTCTGAAGGGACTGTCCTCCCAGGCCCCACCAAGCCCCACCTGCAAGGTCGGGGACGTCTTCTCCATGCTGCCCCAACTCAGCACCCAGACCTGGTCGTGCGATTTGTCATAGTGCAACTTGACAGGGACGGGGTCCGTGCTCACCGCCTGTGAGAAGGGAAGACAAAGAGAAGGTTTCAGACTAAAATGAGCCCAAAGCAGGGGATATTCCAGGAACTTAGCTGTCAGAGTGAAATGGCTTTGGCCAGTTGTCTAGTTTTCTAATTAACCTGGAGATATTACATCCCTCACAAAAGCCCAGTTTTCTTCAGTTTGTCTAATTGTATGTAGTCATGTTGATTCACTACCTGTGTTAATTATAAGTCATAGAGAAGCCATGTGGAAACCCAGGATGAGAAGGGTTCGTGTGCTCATGGTAGCCCAGTGCTGAAGCTAGGTAAGAGCTGTCTGCACGGCCAGGGTCACATTGTATGTGAAAATTCCACAATCTGATAACTGGGTTAACATTCGTAACTGCGTACCTGATATAGTGTCTGTAGTAGAAATCCAAAACCACAGAAGGAAGAAACAACAACTAAAAATGCTTTGTTTTTGTTTGTCCAATCCTCTGTTGTTGGACAGATAGGCTGTTTCCAAGAATTAGCTATTATGAATTGCACTGCTGTAAACATGGCACTCATTCATCACTGTACTGCGATGTCTTGAGCTCTTCTGGGAAGTTAGAAGGGGAATAGCCGGCACAAATGGAATTTCTAGTTTTGGTTTTTTAAGGAAACTCCATAGCGATTTCCAAGGTGGTATTTCTACACAATGGAGCACCATAAAAAATAAATTTGAGACATTAGTAAGAAAATGGATGCACTTGGAGACTGTAACAGTAAGGTAAATCCAATATAGGGGTTTAATTATCATATAGTGTCTTGTTTATGATAATTATGAAGAAATAGACTTACTAGAAGAAGAGAAAGAGATTGTAATTCAGAGTGGACAGCGTAACTAAATGTGTATCTTGACTTAGTACAATGCATTGTCTTTTATATGTTCTTTGGCCTATTAGTCTTGTTTTCAATCTTTATATATAATAATTAACATCATAAGTTGTTATAAGATAAACTAAGTCTGAGGCTGAAAAACTAAAAGGGGTGGAAGGAATGGGAAATAATTGAAATATGTTAGGTATATGTACTAATTCTCACAATGAATGCAGTCAGTATGTATGGCAAACATATATCAATAAGAATCAAAGGACTGTTTTGTACTTGGTAGAGTAATTGTGCTTTTATCTGGAAATATGTATAGTATTAAGGAGTTACTTAAAGCACAACTTCCAAAAAGAAGTTGTTGCCTGCAAATGATTTTAATCACCTTAATATCAAGTTATTTATAATGTAAGCTAATAATTTTTAAAAGTTATTTCGTCATTTACTTGAATATTTTCTAAGTGTATAGCATAAAATACATGTATTTCAAATTCTCTAGCATTACAGAATAGTCTAAGTCCTCATTTATAATGAAATACTATTCTCACTGGATTAGTAACAGGTAAGTTATCTTTGCAATGGGATGCATGAAAATTCCACTTTTAATTTACTTGTTGAAAATTTAGACTTAAGATTGCATGTATTCTAAAACTTTCCCATGCATTCTACCTATTTAAAATGCTCAGTATTCATGGATTACTGAAATAATTAATGTGTTTCTGAAAAGAATTGCTTAAACATTTTCATGTCTGTGCCATCATGTCTTCCTCTTGGCTACCAGAGCTGTAGAATAATGTAAGATGGACACAGCAGAAGCTCTGCTGTTAGAGAGTATTGGCTGAAAGGTAGAGTCCTCCCCTCGGGTGGGCAGGAGCTTTTCCAGTGGTTCCAGAGGCAGGAGTATTGAGGTGACCTACCCAGCACTGGACCAATGAGCGCTGACCTGACAAAAGCCTTCCGAGGATGGAAACACCCATCTGCCTCGACAGCAACGCCAGGAATCTGCTCGGGACACACTTTTCTCTCTCCTTGCTTTGAAACCTTTTATGAGGACATTTGGCACCCAGTTTCCAAAGCCATGCTGAGGCCACAACACAATGATCTTTAAAAGGCCAGCAACCAAAGGACGCAGCAGAAGAAAAACTGGAGACTGAATTCTTGATAATAACGTTGAGATCCTGCACCAAACTAGAACAGCTAACCCTAGACTTAGTGTTACATGGGTGATTCAGTGGGTTTATTGCTTAAGGAACGGTCTGGTATCTGTTAATTCTGCTGGAATGAATGCAGATGTCTCAGTTAAATTTCTTCAGGGACTGGTCAATAATTTCAGTGCATATATACTTAACAACAGTCACTGCACTAATGACAAAGCAGTGAGAGAGCTTTGATTTTTCATGCTTTTTCCTTTATATGCTAATGTAGCCTATGTGTAATTATTACACTCAGCATATTTTGCATGCAGCTTAAAATGTACTAAGAACTGACTTCTTGAAATGTTGAAAACAGAATAACTCCATATGATGAAAAGAAGTGCTTACAAAGCTGCACTGTTACTCATTTGTAAAAACACAATAACAAAATGAGCAAAGTTCAGTACATATGAAAGAACCATTGGGGTGAAAATTTCCAGTTTTCCAGCTCTCAGCATAATCATTGATTTACGTGATACACTGCAATCCACAGGGCACACATCAGCCCACTTAACACAGTGAGAGAACCCAGGCCATCCTGTCTGCCGTCATCCACCAATAACCAGGACTGTTGGGCTCCAGAGAGCCTCCCCCGGTGGACTGATGGCTTTATTCCTGATAATACATGAGTTATCTCCCTCTTATTTATGATTTATATAAAAATGCACTTTCAGGTCTCTGCTTTTGTTGTGGGGGTGGAAAGGAACCCGCACGAATTCAGATCTATGCAGTTGGCCTTCAGAATCCGGGCCAAGCTAGTGGGGCACCACAAGACACAGGTGGGGTCCTGCTAAGGAGCAGGTGTGTGCAAGCTGACCTTCAACCTTAACTTCTACTCTTAAAGTTTCAAAATACCTTGGATAGTTAACGATTTTTGGTCCAGTTTCCCCTACTTTTAAATAGAAATTAATAATTCCCACTTTAAAACGATGCTGTGAGTAGCAGTTGAGGCAGTACCTGGCGAGTAGCACGGAATGAGCTGAGTGAATACCAAGCATTCCTGAGATGCACTCAGAACTGCTATCACAGTCAGGGAAAAGGGCTGAGGCGTGGCTCCATGGCACAGTGAGTGTCTAGCATATGCAAGTTTTCCAGTTCCCTCTCCAGAAGGAAAAGAAAAAAGAAAAGCTAACTGAGCCTAACTTATTTTCATGACTACAACAATTTTAATGTTCATTGGTGTGTATGCTAGTATTATGATGTTCAAAGGAACACTTGGAACAGAAAGTAAATTTAAAAAAGTGTCTTTACTTACAGGAAAGGTAGAACAGAGGGTAAAAGAAGCACTTAGAATATTATGCTAAGCATGCTAGGATAAAACAGAGAGCTAATATTATGGCAGCTCGAGGATGGAGCATTAGATAGGATGAAGGATGCAGGCAGCGATGTTTCCATTCAGGCTACGGCATGAGCATTTCTGTCAGTGGGAAGGCAGATCATTTTTTAAAGTTAACTGTGAGAATATTTCATATGAGGAGTCAGGAGGCAGTCGTGATCAGTTGTCTTCCAGTGTATTAAGACAAACTGTATGCATTCAGAGGGAGGAACTATCTATCAAGTTTCAAAAAGCATCAGAATTGGAAAATATGTGCAATGACCCATAAATGCATTAAGTGCTTTATGTTCCAGCATTTCAAAAGTTTGATACTAAATTCAGTTGCTGTACAATATTTTGATGTTTGGTTACCAAAGTATAACAGAACTGAAAAGACAGGAAAATCAAAGAGAAGAAAAGTAATATGATATCATTTATTTAGGGAAATTTAACTCTTAGGAAAATATCTGCTTGCAAGCTTTTGAGTATAAGATAACATATTTGACAGAGGGAACATTAACAAGGTTTTGAGCAACAAATATGACAGAAATATTGCCACATGAGCACCTTCATAATCCTTCTATAACCTAATTTTTAGCCAAAACGTAGATATTTTTCTACTTATGCCATCAGCATTGGGAAGGAATAAATCACATATAATGAATTTGTTTAAATATCTGCAAGTATATTCTGAAATTGGTCAGAAAGGATTAGTACATGAAGACCATTTGTTTTGTTCAAAACAGAAAAGCAGTATTTTTGTCACTTTCATCCCCCCCCCCCCCCGCCTTCCTCCCCTCCCCTCCCCCAGCCCGGTCTTTCCTACTTTCTTGGCTTCTTTTTCTGTGTTTCTTCGGCATGTGAGCATTCCCCATTGCCCACAGCCTGTGTCCCTGCTACATACCTTGACCTGGCCGCTAACCCACTTGGCGCTGGTGCTGAGGTGGGCAGCACCAACCTCCGTCTCCGGAGCCCTGCTCTCGCCCACTGGGCCTCTGCTTCCCAACTTCTTTCTTCTGCCCTTAACAGCTGCTGCGTCCTGCCTCTGTTTTATTATGCTGCCCTCGTTTTTATTGTCTGTCTCGTTTCGTTCCCTGGACTCCAGGATCCCAGAAGGCAGGTGTTTGATTTGCTCAGGTGAATGACATAACTCATGGGCATAGAATAACACTGTGTGGTCAAAAATAATTCACAGGGAATACACCTCTAAATCTACTTAATTGGGAAAAATCAACTGAAAAATTATACAGCACACCAAAATACATCTCTATTAGGAATATTACTGTTCTATTTAACAGAAAAAATTATAACCTGTAAAAGGCATATTTTTATGTATTTCATAAACACAGATTTTAAAACTTTAAACCTCATAACAATCATTTTGTCCACACAAGCAGTGTTGCTCTTTTTACAGATACAAGGAGAGAAAATAGAAGGCATCACAGTGGACTCCTCTGTGCTGTGAAAATCTCACACCCACAGCAGCTCCAGCACACGTGGAAGGCTCAGTATTGGCCCCCACTATTGAGCGCTCACAAAAGGCAACGTGATTCTTTTCTAAGACAGAAAGGAAAACAAGCAAACTAGGTGTCCTCTCCAGCTCCCACACTTCAGCTCCCGGGTGGTGGGAGGCCACTGTGTACACCATCCGCTCCTGCT